CTATGAATGAGAAATACGCTGAAGAAGTGAATCAAAGAATTGCCGACAAAAGATGTAAATGGGGAAAAAAGAAACAAATAATTTGGGACGTACGCGTGGTTCTGTAGGTGATCCACGTGATGATCCAAAACCCAGCTGCTCCAGAAAATCACTCTCGCCATTTCGATGCACTAGAATAACAATTACAATCTACTAAACTGTCGCAAAGACATGTCACATTAACTACGACTTACTTTTCCTTCTCTTCCGCTCAAAATCGTCGAAACCAATGTCGAAATCTCGATATATGTCAATGCTACCCACATCAACAGGAAAATGGCGTTCAATTAAGCCTTGCAAGACAGCTCTGGAATTGCATTATTTGATCTTCTAGTTAGATAAAGCAACGTAAAAAAACCTACTTCGCGGTAGACACAAATTCGGTCAACTCGCCGCCCATGTCTTCAAGGGCTTCAAGTGTTCGTGCTTCTCCTGTAGACTGCAGACCTATCACAACACATTTATTCGCCTTGATCGCATCACGAGCCATTTGCACACAAGCTTCCACCTCAAGAAATAAACGAAGCTTTATCAACTACAATACTCCTTTGATTACCAAACATAACGAATCAAGATTCGACCATTGACAGAAGAAAATAGATGTACCTTGGCAGCAATGCAGAGATACTTGAAAAATCGTTGATGACAGGCCCAAAACTGTCCCCACAATTGTTTACATGATGATCGTTCTTCACCAGTCATGGCGCTAAGAACGTTCTGCAACATATTTTGTTCAACACATTCCTAAAAAAGAAAAAATCTAAGATTTAAAACCTGAAATTGACGCCGACACTCCAACCACAGCTTTACAGAGTCATCATAAATCTTCACGAATTCATCTGATAGTGGCACTTCTTGGACTGTGAAGGATACACCACGGAACGAAAGCTGACGAGCAAGATAGAGGCCACGTTGCTAAAAGCTTACAATGAAAATAAGATCTCGGGAAATGGAGTTTTAAGCTAGACTTCCTTACTGTACATAAAAGGATTTAGTAAACGAGA